CCATCCATCCATCCATCCATCCATCCATCCATCCATCCAATTTTTAAACGTGTTTATTGGAAACATATGAGTCTCTTCTCTTCAGCTCTAATGCTCGTCGCTCCTCTGTTCCTCTCTCTCTCTCTCTCTCTCTCTTTATATCGTTGTGTTTGTGATCCTCGTTCGGCCTCATCTGGAGTCATGAGAGAGCAGGAGTTCAGGTTTGATTCACGTCGGATGTTTACTCTGTGTTGGAGCCGAGGAAAGCCTGCAGGATGTTTGCTCTCAAATAAATCAACTCAAACAGAGATTAAACCCGCTGGATTCAGCTTCATCTGGGCCTTATTATGCTTCAGTGTGTGTGCGTGTGTGTGTGTTAAAGGGTTAGTTCAACCACAAATGATTCTGTCATCATTCACCATATAAATACTCTACCAGTCGAAAAGTTTGTAAAAAATCTTGAACCTGGTGTGTGACGGTCTGTTCATGTTCTGTGTTTCTGCAGGTCTTCACGCACTGAGGAGGGCTTTAGGATCCGGACCTGCTCTCTCTGACGTCCAGGTGATGAACACGGTAAAGGTCACGACCTCTGACCTCAGGCTGGCCATGACGGAGGTCAAACCCAGTGCGATGAGAGAGGTGGCCATCGACGTGCCAAAGGTACAGTGTTCATCGAAAGCAAGACCTCCACATGCAGTGATTATCAGCATCCTGAGTGATGGACCAATCACAGCTGAGATTTAGATATAAGGCTCAAAAACACACAATTTCTCTCGCTGTTATCAAATTATTTTGGTGTGGTCAGAGTTTGGTGTAAATATGCCAAAGCGTTGCAGAATTACAGCTGTGCGTTATTCCAACACAGTCGTTGATGCGTTTTTCAATAACAGTTGAGTCTATCGAAAAGCTTTTGATAACCTTATGCCGGTATAGGTTGAAAAAAGTAGGTTTTTAAAATAATTTAACGCAGCAAGTTCAACCGGATATGGCATCATTGGTATCATTGTTCTCGGCGTGATTCAAGGAATCTATAGTGACACGGCTTTTAAATAATTTTGCCAAATTTAACGACTAAGCGAACAAATTTAACTATAAACATTTTTGGAAATGTCATTCTAATGCTTGACCAGAAGGAGGTGCTGTTCTGAAACTTTTTGAGTTTCTTCAGGGCATGGTCCTCAAGCAAATGCATTCATTATATACAGCATTTTATGACAACATTTGAAATTGCCGACACCCAGAAAAGCCAATTTGGGAAAATTGTATCATTCGGTTCATTATGCTGCACTGAATCAAAAGAGAACAGTTTTATCGTTTTTCGGCAAAGTGTTCAGTAGTTATAGGCAAAAATAGCCATTATTTTTAAATACCAAGACTGGCCTTGATACGCTAAAGCAGACTTAATACGCTACTTCAGATGATAGCCTCGTGTCAAATATGGTCATGGGTTCAATTCCCACGGAAAGCAAGAACTGATAAGAATGTAAATGTGTACCTTGAAATGCAATGTAAGTCGCTTTGGATAAGTGTGTGTGTGTGTGTGTGTAGGTCCGCTGGAGTGACATCGGTGGGATGGAGGAGGTGAAGCTGGCGCTGAAGCAGGCGGTGGACTGGCCCTTACGGCACCCCGAGGCCTTCAGCCGGCTGGGTATTACACCACCTAGAGGCGTTCTGCTGTACGGCCCGCCGGGATGCTCCAAAACCATGATCGCTAAAGCCTTAGCCAACGAGAGCCGGCTCAACTTCCTCTCCATCAAGGTCCGGCATGAGCGTGTGTGTGGGGACTCATGTGAGAGTGTGTGGTTTATTATTATGGAGCAAAAGAGAGAACAGAAAAAGTAGATATATATGTTATAATTAGTGTTGGGCAACGATTAATCGCATCCAAAATACAAGTGTGTGTTTACATAATATATGTGTGTAATTATTTTGAATATATAAATACACACACAGGCATGTCTATATTTAAGAAAAATGTGTTGTGTGTGTGTGTGTGTGTGTGTGAGTGAATGAATGAGTGTGTGACTGTGAGAGTGAGTGAGTGTGAGTGAGTGAGTGTGAGTGAGTGAGTGTGAGTTAGTGAGTTAGTGAGTTAGTGAGTTAGTGAGTGAGTGAGTGAGTGAGTGAGTGAGTGAGTGAGTGAGTGAGTGAGTGAGTGTGAGAGTGAGAGTGAGAGAGTGAGTGAGTGACTGAGTGTGTGTGAGAGTGAGAGTGAGTGAGTGAGTGAGTGAGTGAGTGAGTGAGTGAGTGAGTGAGTGAGTGAGTGAGTGAGTGAGTGAGTGAGTGACTGAGTGTGTGTGAGAGTGAGAGTGAGTGAGTGAGTGAGTGAGTGAGTGAGTGAGTGAGTGAGTGAGTGAGTGACTGAGTGACTGAGTGACTGAGTGACTGAGTGACTCAGAGTGAGAGTGTGTGTGAGTGTGAGTGAGTGTGTGAGAGTGAGTGTGAGTGAGAGTGAGTGTGTGAGAATGAGTGTGTGAGAGTGTGTGAGTGTGTGTGAGTGTGAGTGAGAGTGAGTGTGAGA